ATATATATATATATATATATATATATACATACATACATAAATTATATTTATATGAACAATATTCTGTTGGACATAACTTGGTTGACATAACTTGATGTGTGTTGCCCTTTCTCTTCTTTTGTCCTCCACAGAGAGAAGTCCATCAGGCAGTGCTTTTGGCAGCCAAGAAAACCTGCGCTGGAGAAAAGACATGACCCATTGGCGCCAGACCAGCGAAAAGATGGACAAGTATGATTTTATTTAATTTATTAATTAATTAATTATTTTTATTTCTTTTTATTTCTTTTTGTTTAGTGTGTTCCTGAGCCAAATTTAAAGTAGGTGAACTTTGGCTTCCATTTCAATTATGTAACTTGCCTGATACAAGTACACAAAGTTTGTAATGTGGTCGTCAGTAGTTATTCCAGTGGAAAAAAAAAGAAAAGGAAAATAGTAATAATAATTATTAATTTTAAATAATAAAATGCAAAACTGGTATTAATTTAAATATTTTTTATTCTTATTATTTTTTTTTATTTTAATTGTTTTCTTTTAATTTAGTAATTAGTCTGCCTTAAAGATTTTTTTTTTTTATTATCTGTGTATTCTGAATGGTTAAATTAACCCTAAAACTGGCAACGTATCCTGTGGGATACAAACATTTGAGAGGCTGTGGGGAGAGGCAGGGAAAGTGTAGGTCTCATTTCTTGGTTTCATGTTGAAAGGGTGTTTGTTGTGAATATTTAGATATATTGACTTTGTTCATACATTCTTTGTTTAGCTCACGCATATGGCTTAGATTTTATAGCAATTTGAAGTGCAACATTTTTTATAAAGTATTTATTTTATATACAATTAAAAAAAATTTGTATACTGCATTATCTTTACTGCAAACTTAAACTTCTATAACTTTTTTTATACTTTCGTTTTTTGAAATGCTTTCACTTCAGCATTAATCTGCTATGTGTCTTCTTTAAAAAGACAACCATTAACCATTTGACCTCAAATAACCCCTTTATTTGACCTTGTTCTTTCATGTGCTGTGTGTTTAGGGGCCAGAGATCAGTCAGGTATTGTACATCTGAAGTGTGTTTTGCTTTTAATGACCCCTGCTTTGCTTCAGACCTGAATTTAAAGCCCCTCTCCCTCGTGCTTTGGTTCTGCTCTCCTCTACTGGTGCTTGGGTTGGTCTGGATGCAGTTATACTGACCACTGACCAGAAGCTGATTCAGACCAATGTGTGTGTTTATTTGGGGAGATGGAGTAGGATGCAGCTTGAATGATGTGATTCTGTTATAACCAGTTTGTTTATAACAAGAGTGCAACATGGCTCTTTAACCAGCCTCTCAGGTCCAAGATTTAGCAGTGAATGATTTCAAAATTTAATGTAGTTACCCTAATATTCACTGTCAAGTTAATGAGCTACGAGAAGTATATTGTATAGTTGTCATATTGCTCTCTTTAACTTCTTTTCCAAGAGCATTCTGTATCTAATAATGATTTAATTTGGAGAATTAACGTGGTGGCAGTTGTCCTTCATGAGTTCAGTGGTTCTCACCTTTATTCCTCCATGATCCTAATCCTAATACAACAAAAATAATCTAATAAAAATATAAAATCATCTAATAAATAAATGTTTTACATTTTGCCAATGTTTATTGTTTGATGCCATTGAATAACCTTCTGTAATCACTTGGCTCCCTTTTTCAAAAGGACAGGTGTCTGGCAGTGGGGGTGCTTCCGTACATTCAACTCTTTTTCGAGCAAATCCTATTCAATGGCCCACCCATAGGGAATTCATATTAACATGGGCCCTTTTAAAATGCTACTCTAGCTCCTGGAGCCCCAGTGTGCTAAATGATTTTCAGTATTAAATTGCATTAAAAGTAAATACTAAATGCTTAAGTTTAATTTAGCTTGTAAAAAATATAGCATCTTGATGAGTAAAGCCTAATCACGGATGGCACAATGTATGTACACAGTGAACCTCCAGGTGCAGAGTTGCAGTTTAACAATACAGTATTATGCTACATTTTCAAAAACCTTTTAACAACAGACCACCCTCTCTGCTTCTAACAATGATCAGTCAAGTCTGTGACAGGGCCATGGCTCTCTCCTGCCCTATAAAGGGTTATGATACAGTTGTTTGTGTGTGGCCTTTTTTGAATGAATCATGTACCATACAGGTTTAAGAGAATTCCACTGCACAATAAAAGAAGCCAGGAGCCCTTCTTAGTTAGGTTTGTAAGCTCACTAGGATATGCTTGCACATCTACAGTTCATGTGAATCGTTAAACATCTTTAAAATTATTAAGCCTAACTCAGACCTATCAAGATTAGGTTATAGAACTTAAATTTTTTAAAAATATTTAAATATTCAGTGCATTAAATATTTCATTATTATTTTATTTAATGTTTTTAAAGATTAAGTCTATGTAAGTGAAAGTTCAAGTATTTATTTTACAGATTAAAACTAAAATGTATTTATAGATAAAAAAATATGTTTTTATAATATTTATTTATATATTTTTAATTAAATATTTGGTTTTAATATTTAAACATGTATTATTATTATTATTATTACAATAAAATATTAAGTTTAAGTCCATAGGTAAAAAAAAATCTGGTCTGTACTTTACAGATTAGTACTTGTTTGTTTATTTGTAAATGTTTAGTGCATTTATTATTATTATTATTAATAATAATAATAATAACAGTGTAAACATTAAGTCCATATAAGTAAAATCAAAGTCTGTAATTATATAGATTAGAGCTCATTTATTGTTTATTTATTTATTTTCAAAGCATTAATATTAGGTCTATGTAAGTCAAAGTTTGGGTTAACATTATACATATTTTACAACAAAGGCTAGGACAACAACTTACTAAACTATGCAGAAATGGATCAAAATATTTGGTCTGTATGCAGAGGTCACCCTTCTTCTGTATACACTCACTTGAATGCTTGTGTGGAGATTGCTGTGGCATTCAAGGATCCGCTTGCTGTTTTACCTGCCATATTGCACCATTCTAAACATTCATTACCCCATTGTTTGTCAGGACCAGGGCTGAGCTGGAGCATGAAGCAATTATTGATGGCAACTTGGCAACTGAAGCTAATCTCATCATATTGGATACACTAGAAATAATAGTTCAGGTAATGATCTCAACTGCTATCAATAACTCTCAATATTTTAACACAGAAGACATTTATTATAACTATGATGGTTCCTCTATGTGCCATGTAGACCGTATCAGTGACGGAGTCCAAAGAAAGCATTCTGGGAGGGGTTCTGAAAGTCCTGCTACACAGCATGGCATGTAATCAAAGTGCCCTGTATTTGCAACACTGCTTCGCTACACAGAGAGCTCTCGTGTCAAAGGTGAGTGAACGCTGATCAGGTCAAAGAGCAGAATTTTCTGTTGAGTTTGTATTGACCAATTTAGCTCCAGCAGATCAATGCAATTTTGCTTGGTGATTGCTCTCTTTACATGAAATGGTGTATGATCTCTTGTGACAGTGTCTAAGTCTGAATGTGCGTTTAGTTTCCAGAGCTGCTGTTTGAGGAGGAGACAGAGCAGTGTGCTGACCTGTGCCTGCGGCTCCTGAGGAATTGTAGCAGTAGCATCAGCACCATCAGAGCCCATGCCAGCGCCTCCCTCTACCTCCTCATGAGACAGAACTTTGAGATCGGAAATGTGAGAAACATTTAAACACACTCTGTCATAATCAGCATAAATAACAGTAGATTGTTTGTGCCCCTCAGTTCTGTACCACATGTACGTATAAGCAAATATGGCATTTTTCATTTCATTTTGTATTATTATATTACTTAATACAACACCATTCAAAGGTGTACACTAAAAAACATGCATTAATGTTGTGATATTAATAGAATGAATAGAATTTAACTGATTTGTATTATAATATATTTTAAAATATAATTTATTCTTGTGATGGGAAAGCAGAAATTTCAACAGCCGTTACTCCAGTCTTTAGTGTCCTAAAGACATGATCCTTCAGATGACCAAGAATGGTGATCAGTTTCATTAATAATTAATCAATTTAATTAATGAATAATTTACAGTGTGTTGCTTGATATTTTTTGAAAACCATTTATACAAGATTATTTCATTAAAAAAAAGCAATAACAAAGTTCAAAAGAGCAGCATTTACTTGAAATATTACTATTTTGTAGTATTATAAATGTTTATATTGTCACTTTTAATAGATTGAATGCATCCCTGCTGGAAAAAAGTAATAATTCTCTTCCAAACACAAACTTCTGAACCCACATTTTTGAACAGTAGTGTATATTTATAAAATATTATGTATGAGTACATATATATTTATTATTTATAAATAGATTATATGTAGTTATGTATATTAAATTAATTATTAGATATGTATAAACTATATTGTATTGATACCATATGTTTCTTACTTTAATTTTTTTAAACAGTATTTAGTCTCTGTTTATATGTGAAGAGCTTTATCATTTGTTTGTTTGTTTTCTTTCCTGTAGAACTTTGCACGAGTGAAAATGCAGGTGACCATGTCTCTTTCGTCTCTGGTGGGTACGTCCCAGAACTTCAATGAGGAGTTTCTGCGGCGTTCACTCAAGACCATCCTCACGTATGCAGAAGAGGACCTAGAGCTCAGAGAAACCACCTTTTCTGACCAGGTGAGGCTCATAAATCTTTTCCACCCTCTATTTGCTAACTCCTGACACAAAACACTGATTTTGACTGGTTTCAGGTTCAAGATCTGGTGTTTAACCTGCACATGATTCTTTCGGACACAGTAAAAATGAAGGAACATCAAGAAGATCCAGAGATGCTAATTGATCTGATGTACAGGTACTGTTTTTACATTTGCAGAATGGATCACATCACATTGTTATATTATTCAATACACTATTAACTCACATGAAATTAACCTAGCATGTAAAATTAATGACCATTAAAAATGTCATAAATTTGACATATACTCTATTTATGCTAAAATATATTATTTATTAATAACTACCAACTGTTTTTGTAGTGACTGTTTTTTTTTTTTATATATATATATATATATATATAAACTACAATTCCAAAGTTTAGCATCAGTATTTTTTTTTTTTAAAGAAATTAATACTTTATTGAAGGACACAAAAAATTAATTGTTCACAAATAACATAAAAGATTTTTATAATGTTACAAAATATTTCTATTTCAAATAAATGCTTTTCTTCGGAACTTTCTTTTCATCAAGGAAATGTATTGTGGTTTCCACAAAAATATTAAGCAGCACAACTTATTTCCAACATTGATAATAATGAGACATGTTTCTTGTGCACCAAATTAGCATATTAGAATGATCATGTGAAAGCTGGATTAATGGAGAAAATTCAGCCTCACATGAACACATTTTATTTTAACATATTCAATAGAAAACTGTTATTTCAAATTGTGAAAATATTCCACAATATTACTATTTTTACTGGATTTTGTTTTTGGTCATATTTACTGTATTTATCAAGACAAATATGTCCTTTCTGTTATGTAGGATTGCTAAGGGCTACCAGACATCCCCGGATCTACGACTGACCTGGCTGCAAAATATGGCCGGGAAGCACTCAGAGAGGAATAATCATGCAGAGGCAGCTCAATGCTTGGTACACAGCGCCGCCCTGGTGGCTGAGTACCTCAGCATGCTGGAGGACCGCAAGTACCTGCCTGTGGGCTGTGTCACCTTTCAGGTTCCTGCCGCACCCTGTGACAGATAATGTGTCGGTCATTTACTTTTTAATTATAATATATTCATGAGATCTTTCTCACTACAGAACATTTCCTCTAATGTGCTGGAAGAATCGGCTGTGTCAGATGACGTGGTGTCACCAGACGAGGAGGGCATCTGCTCTGGGAAGTACTTCACTGAGGCAGGCTTAGTTGGGTTGCTGGAACAGGCTGCAGCCTCCTTTTCTATGGTGCGTTATTTAGTATGTGGTTTAAAAGACCTCTACTTTATTACTATGACTTGGCTGCATTCTGTTTGTTTTAAAGCATAGTTCGCCCAAAAATACTCAAATTCAGGCTGTCTAAGATGTGGATGAGTTTGTTTCTTCGTCACAACAGATTTGAAGAAATTTAGCATCACTTCCTCACCAATAGATCCTCGGCAGTGAATGGGTGCCGTCAGAATGAGAGTTCAAACAGCTGATAAAAAACGTCACAATAATCCATGAGTAATCGACACGACTAATCGTCAGTCCATCAATTCATCTTGTGAAGTGAAAATCAGTTTGTATTAAACAAATTCATTGTTAAGACCTTTTACACTTTAAACCGTTGCTTCAAAAATACAAGTCCTCTATCCATAATATTGCTTTCTCCACTGAAAAAAAAGTTGTCAAGAGAGAAATGTGCACAGATCAAACTGCATTTACAAGTAAAAACAGTCCAGAACAGTTCTAAACAAACAAATATGTTGGTGGATTTTGATGTGAAAGGACCACGGGGGATCGACTTTTTCACTGGAGGAAGCGTTATTATGGATTGTGGACTCATATTTTGGCCAGAAGCAACCGTTTAAAGTTAAGATGCCTTAATGATGAATTTGTTTCTTACAGACATGCTTTTTTTTTTTTTTACGTTTCAAGACATTAATTGCTGGACTGGAGTCGCGTCGATCACTTGTGGATTATTGTGATGTTTTTAGCAGCTGTTTGGATTCTCATTCTGATGGCACCCATTCACTCTAGAGGATCCATTGGTTAGCAAGTGATTCTAAATTTCTCCAAATTTGCTCCAATTAAGAAACAAACTCCTCTACATCTTGGAGGGTGAGTAAATTTTTAGCAAATTGTCATTTTTGGGTGAACTATTCATTCAATTTATTTGATTGCTATGTATAATAATATTTAGCTTGTTATAGCAGCGTTTAGTAGCTTATTTGCCTTTTGGTAGTATATAATATAATAATTTAAATTTTTTTTTTTTTTTAGATTTTCACTCAATATTTAATTATTTATTTATTCATTTAAATACTCCTTGAGTATATACGGTATTGTGCAAAATAAAAATATTAATTTCAGTAAACTCGCATGTAGTCCTGTATTACATCATATTGTTTTATACCGCTCATGAGCCATTCTTATCGTTATTTGTCTCCAGGCTGGTATGTACGAAGCAGTGAACGAAGTCTACAAGGTGCTCATCCCTATTCACGAGGCCAACAGGGATGCCAAGAAATTAGCCACTATTCATGGTAAACTTCAGGAAGCCTTTGGCAAAATTGTACACCAGGTAAATGCTTATATTAAAGGTGTAGTTATTAATCTTTTGGATCCTAAAATAAATGCTCTGTTTAGCCTTTTCGTGCTGCATAAGACACCAGGACTTTGTATTATTGCCCTAGTAGGACAAAGCAACAACCTGCCAGAAGTCTAACTTGGCAACATTTTGCTTGTGTATACACATTAACGTGATTTATGTGTGACACGTGAAAGAGTCTTTGCATTATCAAGACTGCATGACTATGTCTATCTCTCTTATATCAGAGTGAGGTGCTGTGGATGTGAGCTTTATTTAGTGAGATTTTCTGGGCATTATGAATAGTATTCACACTGAGAATTATAACTATAACGATAACTATATTAGCATCTACACCAACACACAGTCTGTTTATAATAATTGTGTGCTTAAATGCTCAAGTTGTTTTTTAGTATAGAAATGCAAGTATCGTTTTATTAACATTTTATCAATGTTTTATCATTCATCAGCTAGAAAACCAGCCAAAAATTGTTATGAAAGTGATTCCAACAATATTGATCCTCTGTCACGTTATCATTTTAGTTGTGGTGTGGACTCCACTATTCTCTTTGGATTAGACTGATTATTAAAACTTTATACTTATAGTCCTTGGTGTGAACGGGCCTTATATCTTGCTCATGCGTAGCATTGAGCAACTAGTTTTGCAGCATTAACGTTATTGATATTATTGATTCCTGAAATTGAGTGACTGGTTGAGGAGAAGTGTGTTATAACTTTTGAGACCAGAATAGGATGACCCTTTTGACCTGGGCTAGAAAGCAACCACAACCACAATGCAACAAACACCTTAGCAACTGTATAGAAACTTCCTGGCAACAACCCAGATCACCTTAGCATCATGCAACAAGCAAACACGTGTAATTTTTCTTTTCTTTTCAAAATTGTCATATATAGATATATTATTGCATGCAGTATATACAGGGATGAGGAGTCTTGCATGGAGAGTACAGTGACAGTCTAACAAATACACTAGAGTTCACAAGTTTGGAGTCAGTAAGATTTTTTTCATTTTTTTTTTTTATGTTTTTGAAAGTGTCTTATGTTCACCAAGGCTGCATTTATTTGATCAAAAATACTGTTAAAAAAAAAAAAAAAGAGAAGTTGTGAAATATTATTACAATTTAAAGGAACTTTCTATTTTAATACATTTTAAAAAGTAATTTTATTCCCATGATGGCATTACTCCAGTTTTAAATGCGACATTGATTCTTCAGAAATCATTACACTATGCTGATTTGGTGCTCAAATCAAAAACAAATTAAATAAATGAATAAAAAAGTTTTAAAATGTGTGTATATATATATATATATATATATATTAGTGCTGTCAAACACTAATTTTAATTTAAGTTTTTATGTGCATAATGTGTGTTTTCTGTGTATATTTATTATGTATATATAAATACACACACATACAGTATATATTTTGAAAATATTTACATGTGTATATATATAGTGTTTATTTATTTTCCAGAAATTGAATAGAAAATTTTAAAAAATCAAAAATTTAAATTCATTCATTTAAAAAAATCTTACTGCCCCCAAACTTTTAAACAGCAGTGTATGGATTTTCAGAAACAAGTGTTTCCCATAATGCTTTGCAGTCAGTGAAGGGGTGATTGTGACCTGTGTATGTTGATTTGTGCTGTATTCTCTCTGTTATACAGAGCACAGGCTGGGAGGTAGGTGCTAAACTTCATGGTTAATGCTTGGCCCATATACGTGCAAGCTGTGGGCATTTATCATGACTCTCTTTGCTGTGAATTTGACCCATTAACCTTTTTATGGACGTTTTCGTTTCTTTGTCCATCCCTCTTTCTGTGGGACTGCTGTCAGTGGTGTGTGGGCAGCAGCATCCCTCTTCCTCTTCTCATCTTCCTCTCTCTCCCTTCTCTTTCTTGAGGAAAAACAATGTTAACATTGTCATTTTTGACAGGCCATGCATGGGAGCCACTGTGACACTAATGACAGATTTATTCATGAATGCGTCATTTCACTCCCTCATCCGTTTCTCTCACTCCGTTTCATCAGTACTGCCATCTTTGTCTTCTTATCATGTCTCAAAAGCACAGGGTTCGATTTATGTGAGACATGTGGATAACCAAAAATGAAAGTCTAAACATCTTTTACTCACCCTCATGTCGTTCCAAATGTGTAGGACTTTCTTTGTTCTATGGAACATATAAGAAAATATTTTAAATATATATGACTGGATCATTGAGTCAGTTTAGCTTGAAAAATGAATGAGTCAGATTCGTAAACAAGTCATGGACATTGTGAACTGGATCAAGTCATTGCAAAGATCAGCCTCAAAATAATAACAGTTTGACACTTATCACTTTTATTACACTTTTTCTTGTTTTGTTTTTTGACAGCTTGACAGCAATGGTCCTCATTTATTTTCATTATAGAGTGCAACAGTCATGTTCTGGAAGTATAGTCCCAGTGATTGTCTCCATAGGAGAATTGATTTTTAATGATAACTTACTGTGAGCTCAGAGGTTGCTAATGGATGGCATATGCTTTTGTTAAAGTCATTAGTTCACACTATTTCAACATTTTTTTTAACAGCTGAATTAAAAAAAAAAAAAAACACGAAGCAGTGCGAATGACATAAGAGTCAGTTCTTTTCTTCGTAAGTACACAAACTTGTACCTTTGTCGTTTTGTCCAATTGCCACTTTTTTCCTTTTTTTTTTTTAACTTCAAATTAAAATGTGAAATTTTCACCTCGCAGCTGGTAATCACTATTAAATCACTATGGGAAAAAAATGAATGTGAAAATACTTCCGGAGCCAACGTTGCTGAAAAAGTAGAGTACTATTGGGCTTTATCTAAAAAAATAAAAATAAAAATAAAATAGCAACTAGGATAGTCTTCAAATATTAATTTTTGGTGTTCCACAGAAGAAAGAACATCATAGAGGTTTGGAATTACAGGAGTGTGAGTAACCAATGACAGAATTATTAATTTTGGTATCTATTTACAAAATCAGCTGAAGATTGAATAAGGGCTAGATGCTTTTTTGGAGACTATGCAGAATTATTTTATTTATTTTTCATAAATTATGCTTGTTTTTCCTCTAAAGGGATATCATGGTGAGCATCGTTTCAAAACATTTACATTCAAAGTGATGTCCAACTGACCTTCTCTTTATAGGAGTTTTTTATTTCATTGCAAACTAAATCGACCCCTGAGTTCTCATTTACACCAATTTGTTTGTATACTAGTATTAATCTCACTTTGATTTATTGCATGGCAACGACTCAACAAAACCTTCATAATTTGACACTTATTGCAGCATTACACCAGGAATGCATTACACCGTCTCTCAACTGTCCGTTTAATAAAGACCCTTAATGCACTTTTCTCTGCCTGCTGCTGCTTCATTGCATGCTTATTTTTGAGTTTTAGTCTTTTGTGTTTGCGTGTTTTTTTCTTTAAGTATTGATTCATGGTAGTATTGCTGTTTGTTTGTTTTGTGTGTACGTGTTTTGTTAGTCTTTCAAAGAGTTTCCTGGTTTCCTGATTAAAATGTTCTGTTCTCTCCTTTTTTATTTCCCTGGTTGCTGACCTATGGCATAAATTAAGGTAATTATTATGGAAAATATTTCATCTCGTTATCTAAATTTGGGCTGTATGGTTGGTCTGCTTTGGTTCAGCCTTTATCTGCATCTGATTAATACTTCACTTCCTGTGCACTCAGACATGTTCCCGGCTCTGTACATATATACCCACCACTCTTTTTCCTTACTGTGCTTCTATGGCCTACCCTGTTACTCCAGCACATACTAATTCTATCTGACATCCTATTTCTATTGACATAAGTGTTTCAGTTTGACGTTCTGTATTAGGCTTCAGCAGCACGTTTACTTTCTCACGAGGAGCTTGCTACTTATGTTCCGTTCTTTGTCTCTTATTTGGAATACAGTTGTTAACTTACTCTTTAAGGACATCAGGTTGCCTCTGGTCTTCTTCCTGTTATGTCATCTTATGCTAATACAGTTTACAGAGAAATTTCCCACTTCTTGCACCACTGTCCTCAAGCTTGGCTCAAACTCAAACTATATTCAGATTTTGTGTCTTATGTGGAGATGCTCACTTTCTTCTTCTTTTTTTTTTTAATGGCTAATAATGCTAATATATACCATTATAAAAAGTTATGGTTTTGAAATAAGCTCAGAAAGCCTGCATTTAATCAATCAAAAATACAGTTAAAAAAAAAAAAAAACAGTAATATTGTGAAATTGCAACTTAATTATTACAATTTAAGATGACCATTTTCTATTTTAATGGGGTCATGACATGGATTTTTTATTTTAATATGTTCCTTAAGGTTTACTTATAATGTTAATAAAAAAAAAATTTTCACAAAAAAAAAAACGTGGGATAATTTTTATTTTAAACCCTCATTCGGACCCTCTCTCTAAAATGACTTGTTTTAAGAGGCGGGTCCTTTAAGGCTGGTCTGGAATCAGGCACTGTTATGATTGGCTAAAGTCATTGCATAGGAAACAGTATCAACGCAACACAATGTGAGTGTTTTGACATCATCATCATCCAAAAAAAAAAAATACAGTCATTTCCAGACAAAGCATCATGAAATCATTTACTTACGGTTTGTGATGCAGCTGCAGTCTGATCCAGTTCCGCTTCATCAAATGTTTCTTTGTGAACTCTCCATCACACCGTGCCTCGTTTACAAAATAAAATCCTCAGACACGATCCGGGATGCCATTAAAAATAAACTATCCAATTGTTCGTTACGCTAGGATCCTTCTGATATCTGTACAAAGACGCGAAGAAGCTGTTTAAACCAAATGCGTTAAAGCGAACGTTCTTTCACTCCATTTGTCCTACTGACAACAGACTCAAACATGTGGACCGTGTCAGAAAGCAAACGCGCTTCTGTATACTGTATCCATATCCAGTGTAGACAAGATAAGCGGCAGTGATTGTAATTTCTATTTGCTTCTGACGCATCGCGATACTCGCATTCAGCGTGATCAAGTGTCAAGCCGTTAAAGCAACTGAACGCCAGTAGGCGGGGTCTATGATGAGAAGATGACTATTCGTCAACGCCTTGCTCTGGAAGCAGTGTTTATGCAAATGTTTGTCTTGCATCTCAGATCCAAAACGAGCCGTTTTTGGAGCTTGATTAAATAAATGCTTTGTTTATAATAAGGAGGACATTTTAAGCTATGAAACTTGCAGGATGTTTTAATAGTACAAAGGCCTCTTATATGCCAAAAGATCAAGGCAAATTTGATTTCTCATGTCAGGACCCCTTTAAAAGTCCTATTATGCTTTTTCATGTTTTCAACTTTAGTTAGTCTGTAATGTTGCTGTTTGAGCATAAAAAAGATCTGCAAAGTTACAAAGCTCAAAGTCCACTTCAAAAGGAGATATTTTATTTAACAGAAATCACTTTTCAAAAACTACAACGAACGACTCGTTTGGACTACAACGCATATTTAGTCTTTCAAAGAGTTTCCTGGTTTCCTGATTAAAATGTTCTGTTCTCTCCTTTTTTATTTCCCTGGTTGCTGACCCCTCCTCTTCCCACTTTAATTATTGTGTCTTGTGGTAAGTTCATAGTCCGAGGGTTTATTTCCATGACTTTTATGACCGAAAAAAACATTCGCAATGAACCAGAGAGGGGCTGAACCATCTCAGACACCTGGTATCCAGGCCCACACAATCTGAAAATCACAAGCAGAAAACCCAACACATTTCTGCAGAACTGGAATGTCCATCATTCAGAGTTTTATGCATCTTTTATTCCTTACTATTTATTTATACAATGTTTTGACTCATTTAAATATGCTTACTTAACTCGAATGCTCTATTTAACTAGTTTTTCATTTAGGCTTATTGATAATTTGTTTACACCCATTTTGAACGGCTATACGAGTTGTTCTTGCCAGACTGGGGAGAGAGGTGTTGTAATAATGTAAAATATGTGAAAAATAATGTTTTTCAAACAACCTAGTATGAGAGCCTGTTCTAGTACACCCCCAAAACAACATCAAGACTTTGTAAAAGAGCATAATAGGACCCCTTTAAAATATACTTTGTTACTTTCAACAGCCACTACTCTAGTTCTTCAGTGTCACATGGTCTTTCAAAAATCATTTTAATATGCTGATTTGCTGCTCAAGAAACATTTCTTATTAGTATCAAATCAATGTTGAAAACAGTTAAAATGCTTAATGTTTGTTGAATTTTTTTACAAGAACAACATTTATTATTATTTTCTTAAGTATTAATTTCTTTCAAAGAAAAACTTACTGACCCCAGACTTTTGAATGGTAGTGTAACATCGAGAAACTATATAGAAATTTGGAATAATAATAATAATAAATGAAATCAAAGTTTTTGCTCCTCTTTTTTAGAGGTTGTGTCAGATATCCTCAAATGGTAGATGTTACTACTATAATAATGATACTGTATTAGTAGTGGCTGTATTTTGCTGTATTTCACCGTTATATAATTGCATCACTATTGCCAGTGTTGAATGCAGGTTATTTATGTAAACATGTACCAGACAATGTTTACATTGCTGCTGTCACTTGATAACTTGCTGCCATGAGAAAATGTTGTGTTTGCCTCATTGCACTTTACCTTTCTTTATGAGTAACTGTTTTAAAGTGTAAACCCATGACATATGTCAAATGAGTACCAACAGGATTTATGTTTCCGTGTTATCTGGTGTTTTTAAATGGCAGCTTTAATTAACAGCACATTAGTAATTAACACATTTGTTTGTTTCAGGATGGAAAGCGGATGTTTGGCACTTATTTCAGAGTTGGATTTTATGGTTCTAAATTGGGTGACTTGGATGAGCAGGAGTTTGTCTACAAAGAGCCAGCCATCACCAAGCTGGCAGAAATCTCACATCGGCTTGAGGTACAAAACCATTTGCATTTTCTGTTTCACGTTTTATTAGATAAGCAATTTGAAAGTTTTTTTTTTTTGTTTTGTTTTTGTAATACACATACATAACCTTTCTTAATTAGTTAATTTTTGTCTTAATTCCAGAGTTTCTATGGTGAAAGGTTTGGTGAGGACCAAGTGGAAGTTATTAAAGATTCCAATCCAGTTGACAAGTGTAAATTGGACCCAAATAAGGTGCATTGAAATACCACATTATGGTGCAAAATTTGTGCTCAGTTTTAAAAATAATAAACGACAATACGTTGCATTGAGAATAACATCACTTTCCAATACAGGCCTTCATTCAGATCACGTACGTTGAACCATATTTTGACACTTATGAAATGAAGGACCGCATCACGTACTTCGATAAGAACTACAACCTGCGCCGCTTCGTCTACTGCACGCCGTTCACACTCGACGGAAGAGCTCACGGTGACCTGCACGAACAGTTTAAACGAAAGACCATTCTCACTACCTCCCACGCTTTCCCCTACATCAAGACCCGCATCAACATCATCCATAAAGAGGAGGTAACTCACAAACATGCATTGTGAAAGCTTGTATAGTTTTTCATGCTAGATGAAAATTACATCAAAAGTATCAAGATCATTTAAATAGCTAATGGAATATGAGTGTAGTACTTGTTAATTTAATACCATGGTATACCATAGTAATGCCCAGTGTCATTTTAGTATTAATTATAGTATTTTTTTTAACAATTTGCATTATTTTTTTTAGTTTTCTTTTTAAAGTTGTAGTAATTTTATGTGCTTTTGTCATTTTTATTTTATTTATTTTTTATATTTCTATTTAGCTTTATTTTTTATTTCAATTTTAGTAATTAGTAATTTAAGTTATATAAATATATAATATATCAATACTTCAGCAAATATATATTATTTGATTTCAGCTTCCAGTTAACAAAACATTTATTAATAGTTTTGGTTTTAGTTAACAATAACACTGAATGCCAGTGTTTTCGTAAGGTTAAGGGAAGATATTGATATATGACTATTTGCCTTTCAGATAATTTCCACGCCTATTGAAGTAGCCATTGAGGACATGCAGAAGAAGACACAGGAGCTGGCTTTTGCCACTCATCAAGACCCATCTGATGCTAAAATGTTACAGATGGTTCTGCAGGGGTCTGTTGGCACCACTGTTAACCAGGTGACTAGTTGAGCCTATTCACTTAATAATACAAATGCAATATCACTGATAGTTATCTTCTGGATTAATTTGAGCAACTTGATGACACAGCAACGGTACATATAACAACTGGAAATTCAGCCTCCAGAATGTGTAATATATTTAATTGCCATGTAGTAGTTCCCATTATTTAACAAATGTAGTTACTTAAATACTTGGGGCAGAAAAAAAACAAAAAAACATATATATATATATATATATCGTTAAAACAACAATTACGATATCGCAGACGATATATATCGCACACCCTAATACAGACACACACGCACACATAAATGTTTGTATATTAATATATATACAAACATTTTTGTGTCATTGGTGAAATGAGTAAATCATTTGAATGATTCTAACCTATGTATGTATTGTATTTCTCTATAGGGCCCTCTTGAGGTGGCCCAGGTATTTCTGTCTGAGATCCCAAGTGATCCTAAACTCTACAGGCACCATAATAAACTGCGACTGTGCTTCAAAGACTTCACCAAGAGGTTTGATTCCAGATGCTCTCACACTACATTAACATGGACTCCAGTAGTCCAACTACTAACCATGACTTTTTACATCACATTTATAATGAAGTATTACTATATGTATATAGATCAACTATTATCCCAAAAAGAATTTAACTCTTGCAGTCCATGTAAATGTTGCTGCTTTTGTATGGTTGCATGACATGTTATTTTAACAGTTAAATGGTAATAATACAATTAGAACTTTGAAATGCCTGCATGGTAAATGCCACATAACATTACCGAAATGGCCTTAGGGTGAACCGACTTCCCTTCGAGAGACTTTAATTTAACCCTGCAACCTTCAATAACTCCCCTAGATGTGAAGATGCCCTTCGCAAAAATAAGAGTCTGATTGGTCCAGACCAGAAAGAGTATCAGAGAGAGCTGGAGAGGAACTACCACAGACTGAAAGAAGCTCTGCAGCCTCTCATTAACAGGAAGATCCCACAACTCTACAAACCTGTGTTACAGGTGAACTCACACAGGTCAGACAATTAAAATTGTCAAAAGCTGTTGAGAATGTCCTGTATACGTCACCTTGCGCCCGATAAACCAGCTTACTGCAGCAACTTGGTTTACCAAACTACATTTGAATGAATGAATAATGGGAGTTTCCCCCTTAAGCCCTTCAAGCCTTAATATTTGAATCAAAGGGCCATTCATATTTTATTAATACAAGTCAAATGGTTCACTGTAAAGTACACAACAGTTGCTCAGTTTGTTTCATATGAAAGCAAAATTGTTATTTAAATTGTACTGCAAATATTGCAGAATGCATAGAAATTCCATCATTGAATCAAATCGAATTGAGGCCTACTACAGTCAGGAAATGGGCCTTCATAGCCTGGTCTATTTAGTGAAGTTCGTCAACAGCAATGCATGATTAGTTAGTTACTCATAATGGATGACACATGGATAATGTGTTCCATAATTGTCCAAAAAGGTGTGGGTGTTTTAAATGTACTTAATTTCTTTTTTCCGTTTTAACAAGCAGCAAAAGGACAGCTTGAGAAGGTAGTCAAGTTGTTGGCGAGCATATTTTTAAAATAGTTTGCTGACCATTAAAGTTTTGGTTTTTACTGCTTTTATGACAAAGTTTTTGTTTTTCTTTCAGAGACTCTTTTAGCAGAATGAGCCTTCGCAAGCTAGACGTGTGAAGATTGAAGAAATAAAAAGAACAAATGCAATTTTATTTATTTGTATATATCAGTCCTCCTCACAATATCAGTGTTTCTGCCATAAAGTAAAAAGAGATTAAGTGTTAAGACGTTTGGTACATCATTCCAATTTTGTATTAGTTTACAAAATGGCCTGTTACATGATCACAAGAACTGATGATGAATTTAGCATACAATGTGTCAAAACCTGTATTCTATTACTCTGTGCACTTTTTATTTAAATTATTTTTTTTTTTTACTTCATCCCAGTGCATTTTTAATAGTTACGGTACAACTTAAGAGTTTATTTAATCCTTACAGAAAAAGCAAAAAAGGTGATGAATTTTTTTTCAGCATTATGTAGTTTTATGTACCTTTTGTTTACTTTAAATATTTTACTAAATAAATACTCTAATAGCCATTCCAATGTGTTGTTAAAGAAACTGCACCAAAAGACTTATTTTTTATATGTTGGTATTTTAATGTGGCAAATAAGAATCTACATAACCAGGTAATAGAAAAATAATTACATTTTCCCTGCCTCCTCAAATATACAACAGAATGTAAGAGATTCTCGTGAATTGTTTTATTAATTGCTCAGAGATCTTGGTGTAATAGCAGGGCCTGCTCACAACATGGGAAAGAAAAGCTTCTTAGACTGGACTGAAGTATGGCTGATAAACTATAAACCTAGAAAAATAGGTCACTTTATCCCTGTGGTCATTTATAGACAAATTATACACTCTGTACTTTCGAGGTTGCCCACCTAAATTTGATTCTCACTGTGCAAATAGTCTGCAGCGGGAAACAAAACACATTGCCTGTGCTTTGTATCAAAAAATGAAGAGATTAATGTGAAATCTACTTTGGGTTTTTAAGCTATTAATCAAAAATGTGAATTCATACTTGAGACAAAACCCAAACAAGCAAGAATTAATCTTTTTAAAAATATATAAAATTTCAGTGCACAAGAAATAATTTTGTGCTATTCATTAGAGCTTCTATGGAATGCTGGAAAGTATAGGAAAACTGTCACATGCACTGCTGCAATAAGTGCCAAGGTGCGTTTGCATGAGGGTCACTGAAAAGCAGATGACATGGACTCACTGAACAAGAAGATAAAGTACAAAAACAGTAAAACAAAAAAGTGGCAACAAATGTCATGGCCTTGAAAGATTCACATCGGCTTTTCACTGACACTTGTTACACAAACATACATATCGACTATTAACACATCCTGACTTGCTTTTTCAGTTGCCTGCAAACGTACTTTCATAGTCCACGTCTTACCAGTAAAACTTCGTAACCGAGTCCCTTCGGCTGTTTTTACTGAGAGACTCTCTTGTAGAAGAGCAGGTAAGGTGTAGAGGTGGAGCATGTCTCGGGGGAACAGGCTCTGAGGAAGTCCTCTTCTTCAAAGAGTCTCACTTCGGAGTCATCAAACAGCATCCACTTTCCCTCAAAGTCCAAAAGGTTCCGCAGAGCGAGGTCAAAACTCACCTGGGTCCCGTCGCCCATAGCATCAACTCCCTCTTCCTCGGTCTCTTTCTTCACTGTGTTATGAAGCAAAGAACCGGTGGCATGACTGGCCGAGCCGGAAGCCTTCTCTGGATTGGTTTGATTGCTGTTGCTGAGCTCATAACTGGTGACGCTTCTCTGTCCTCCTAAAAGCCCAACACCCTCGGAGGACCTCTTGCTTCCTGATTTGCTGGACATGCTGACTCTGGCCACATTTTGCCCCCTGCCAGGCAAGCTGAAAGACACCTCACCGTCATCGTACTCTGTTTGAGGTACCTCCTCTTTCTTCTGTTTCGTGTCTTCCTCTCGGTCTCGGTCTTGATCGTCATTCTGAGACTGAAGCCTGAGAGTGGTGCGATGGAGATCCATCATGCGGATGCAAGTGGTGTAGTGACCGCTGCTGATGGTTACTCCGCTGTGCATGACCACGGCGAAGAGCTCGTAGTGATGGCTCTGGTCCGGAGAATCAGGCTGAGTGCACCACTCATGCAGGGAAAGCTTGAGAGGGGTCTGCAGAGGAGTATTCACCTTGGAAAGGCCAGCATAAGGATCCATCCTAAAGATTGAGGAAGATTGTACTAACTTCTTAATGCACATTGGCAACTTCAACAAGACTGAATAAAATATTTTGTCTCAAGTTGCTAAATCCTAAACATTTTTACCCTTATTTCTCAGAGTCTTAATGTTTCCTGTATTTTTTTCTGCTGTAATAAACAATGGAAACAGACTCGTGGGCAATTCACTGTGCCCTTCAGGGCTTCCATAGTTGAAAGATAGGAACTAAGTAGAGCTGCACGATTAATCGTTAAAAGATTGCGATCTCAATTCAAACACCCAAGCGATCTCATTTCTAAAGGATGATTCGTCTATTAAATCTTTGAAAAAGTCTTACCGGAAAATTCAAATCTGCGTTCGTGCTGCCACTGACACAGAGAGCATGCATGTTTAGGTAAGAAACGGCTTCACAAACAGTCTTTTCAATCACAAAGTATTATTTCTGTCTTACAATCATTCATATTATCACAGAAATATCAGTGTGAAAAGATGGATCTCAAACAGTCACTGCTGGAAAGGGTTCAAAAGATGCTGGAAAACGGAAGAATCTGCAGGATATGGAGGACTTTTCTGAAGAACAGTGCTCAGTTGAACTGTTCAGAACAAACAAGGGACTCATGAACAACCATCACAAAACAAAAAAACAGTCGTAGGTCATTCTGAGACTGAAGCCTGAGAGTGGTGCGATGGAGATCCATCATGCGGATGCAAGTGGTGTAGTGACCGCTGCTGATGGTTACTCCGCTGTGCATGACCACGGCGAAGAGCTCGTAGTGATGGCTCTGGTCCGGAGAATCAGGCTGAGTGCACCACTCATGCAGGGAAAGCTTGAGAGGGGTCTGCAGAGGAGTATTCACCTTGGAAAGGCCAGCATAAGGATCCATCCTAAAGATTGAGGAAGATTGTACTAACTTCTTAATGCACATTGGCAACTTCAACAAGACTGAATAAAATATTTTGTCTCAAGTTGCTAAATCCTAAACATTTTTACCCTTATTTCTCAGAGTCTTAATGTTTCCTGTATTTTTTTCTGCTGTAATAAACAATGGAAACAGACTCGTGGGCAATTCACTGTGCCCTTCAGGGCTTCCATAGTTGAAAGATAGGAACTAAGTAGAGCTGCACGATTAATCGTTAAAAGATTGCGATCTCAATTCAAACACCCAAGCGATCTCATTTCTAAAGGATGATTCGTCTATTAAATCTTTGAAAAAGTCTTACCGGAAAATTCAAATCTGCGTTCGTGCTGCCACTGACACAGAGAGCATGCATGTTTAGGTAAGAAACGGCTTCACAAACAGTCTTTTCAATCACAAAGTATTATTTCTGTCTTACAATCATTCATATTATCACAGAAATAATGAGATGAAAGTTTATAGTTCGGATATAAACATTGATGTCTATGATGGCGATCAAAATCTAGCAAATCACCTTTTGAAAGCAACGTTTGTGTCGATTACATTGGTTTGCCACTAGGTGGCGACAAGTGACTGTTAAAAAATTTATTTGTCATTGAATTGTTCATTGAAGAGATTCGTTCAAAAACGCTAATTCATCCAGTAATTACTTATGAGTGAGTCATTGAACCATGCATTCAAACCAATTTTTCGTAATTTTAATATTGACAAGTGTTTATTACACACACTATATATATATATATATATATATGTGCTGTCAAACAATCATATCCAAAATAAATAAAGTTCTTGTTTACATAATGTGTGTACTGTGTATATCATGTTTTCTTCTGGAGCATCAGTGAATGAACCTTTTTTAATAGTTGCGTTTGAGTCCCTCAATTGTCCTCAGTGTGAAAAGATGGATCTGCAAGTTAACGCATTGATTAATTCCAACAATTATTTTATCGCGCATTAACACAGTTCTTTTTTATTATTATTATTTTGAAGTCCGTTGCTCACTGGCTCTGAATACACAGACAAACCATGGGTTACAGGAGGGTGGGATGTTGATCAATACTGGATTGGGATGAGTGTCATCACGCGTCACAACCAATGAGAGCACTTGGGGTGGGCCTGACTGCAGCAGCGCTCACATGAACGCTCCAGATAAAATTATTTAGGCTAAGAATCAACATTAACAAACCACTGTTCACTGTTTTTAACAGAAAAGAATGCAACGTGCTCGTAATCACGACTTCATAAGTTTCCGATAGCACGTGAAGACAGCACAGTGGAGTGCATCGTATTGTTAACTAAATTGTGGTTGATTATTTTGAGTAGTTTGGAACGCTGTAACACATCACAAAACAAAAGACAGTCGTGGATCATTCAGGTAACCACACACCATATTAAGAACCAAGGGTTCCCAAACTTTTGAATGGAGTTATTTGAATAATTTCAGCAATTTTTTTGTCTTGTGGTGTATATGTAAACATCTTGTATGTAAAATATCTTACTCAGGACAGTACTAAATCAAAAATAACATACATTTTGTATGATCTCTATTATTTTGTTAAAATGACTCACATTTTCACAGATTCTGCAAGGGGTTCACAAACTTTCAAGCAGCAGTGTATATATGTATATATATATATATATACAGTGGGTACGGAAAGTATTCAGACCCCCTTTCCGATAGCACGTGAAGACAGCACAGTGGAGTGCATCGTATTGTTAACTAAATTGTGGTTTATTATTTTGAGTAGTTTGGAACGCTGTAACACACGGCCCTCACAATATATACGCGCAATCATGCTGCACGTATCCGAAGTTCTGCACTCCGGCACGGTTAGCGCTCGAACTGCATGCGTGCTGCGCCCAAGCCCAACTGAACCGTGATCTGGCCCACCTCTTCCAACTGAGCCAGGGATGGCTAAACGAACCGTGCACGGCACGGAGCGATCACTAGTCAAACGAACCGGGCGCGCTTGGGCACGGTTAAGATTACCTAGTGTGAGTCCCGCATCCCGCCCACACCCGCTCTCGCCCATCAAGTGTTGTCTCCGCTGCGTTAGGTTCCGCGATAGTGCAGGTCTCTACTCGGAAGGTGCCTGTTATAATGTTATGATCGAGGCTCTGGACTCTGAGCATAACTTGTTTTTCTATAACAAACTATAAAATATTTTCTATAAAAAAAGTTAATGCCCTGGCAGTGGCAAATAGTTTGGTTTTATATTTAATTTGATTACATTAATGTTTAAGTTGAAATTTACAAGAAATATTTTAACTGCTACTCTGTAAAAGGAATACTGCTGTAAAAAAAAAAAAAAACATTTTTTGTTTAGTGTTTGCAAACCAAATGTTATTGCACTTTTGCTCATATAGCAGTACTTTTAAATGAAAAAGTGCGCAATACATTACATTTGAATTCATTGAATTTTGTGCATAATGCGATTAATCCCGATTAAAAATTTTAATCGTTGCCCAGAACTTATATATATACCATAGACTGTATAAAAACATGGACGTAGTGTTCGTGACGTCAGGTCTCACAGAAATATTTATCTTCACCCATAATCCGCTCCACAGATGCAAATTGAGATATGGCCCACTTTAGAGTTTTCAGCTCAGGTTTGGGATCTGGAGAAACTGAAAAAGGAGGATAGTTATAAAATAATCTAACCAGCATCCGAAAGTGTTGACTGACAGTCACAAACAGAGATGGATTCAACACTGTCAATGTACTCACTCTGAGAATTGTCAGAGTCAGAGGAGCTGCTGTCCTTCTCTTGCACAGGTACGCTGATGTCTTGAAAGTCCTCTCTCCGCTCTGTGAAACACTCACATTCCAGGCAGCGTGTCCGCAGCACCAGCTGACCCTGGAACATCCACTTCAGCACATCCAGGCCTGATTGCTCTAATTACACAACATTGACAAATTCTTTAGTTATACAAGTTATTGATCACAAATTTACAGAGCCCCACACATGACATGGAGGAAATATATATATATATATATAAAAATGATATGTAAATATCATTTAATTGTATAATATCTGCATTACTTAAAAAAAAAAAAAAACTCGCTAGAGGAGAGGATTTGATCACAATTTTGTGTAAGATATTTACCTTTATTCTTTCCCAGACTCTGTTTAACTTCTTGAGTTCTGCTCTCATTCTCAGAGGTATCCTTCTCCTGCTTCTCTTGGACACTACAATCTGATTTCTCCTTGGTCTCTCCTCTCCCTCCCACATGTGAAGTAATTCGCCCCATGCTGCGGAACTTCGAGAAGATGCTAGGCTGCTTCCCAGATGGCTTCAACCAGCCCAGCTTCCCCCTCCGTGTCCTCTTGCCCACCTCTTTTGGGGTACTGTCATTCTTCTCCTCCTCTGTGGTGCTCCCTCTGTCCTTCTCTTGCTCTTTTTCTTGCTCCTCTGTTCCATTCCTCTGGTCAGAACTCTCTGTGGTTATGTCACTGGAGGACTTTCGTTTTGAGCGGGGCATAGGCACATTTTCCTCATTTTTCTTTGATTTGCTTTGAGATTTTGGCTTTTTCTTAGCATTGCCTGCTTCCGTGTCACTCTTTCTCTTTCCGCTCAACTGGCCATCGGAGCTCCCATCATCCTCGTGGGTGGACTCCCCCATTCCATTACTTATTGTGCTGTCCTTCTGGTTGTCTGTTTGCTCTTTTTTGATATTGTCACAGGCCTCCTGGATGTTAGCAAGGATGCACTGCAGCACCTCCTGTGCATCATGCTGCAAGTAACCCTCATACATTGGATTAAGCTGCCTGCAATGGAGAGATCAAACAGGTTTGTTTGGAAAATACAGGCAAATTCTTGTTATAGAAGTTATTGATCCTAAATTTACAGAGCCCTGCACATGACATGGGGGAATATATATATATATATATATATATATAAAGAATTTAAATCCATGTGGCTGCAATATACTAAACTGAGGGAATGAATTAGGTTGTGGGAACAAATTCTCAGTTCGTGGCCATGATAAATAATAAAAAAATAAAGTTATTTAAAAATAATAAAAAAAATAAATCAATAAATAAAAGATAGATGTTTCATTGCAGCTAGGGCTGCATGATAAATCGCATGCGATATTTAACGCGCATCTTGTCAGTAAAGCCGTTCTGTAATCAGCGGTAAATCTCCATCACGTGCGGGCTTTCACATGGAGAAGCATTTACTACACAGAGCAGTTCTTCACTGACAAGCTGCGCAAAACCACGATCATATTTTGTGCAGCTTGTCAGTGAACAACGGCTCTGTGTAGTTAATGCTGCTCCATGTGAAAGCCCGCACGTGATGGAGATTTACCGCTGATTACAGAACGGCTTTACTGACAAGATGCACGTTAAATATCACATGCGATTTATCGTGCAGCTCTTCAAAAAAAATTGAAAAGTTATAATTTCTCAGTTTATACCTCTTACTATATATATTTTTTTTTATTGTTTATTTTCCCCATTTCCCATAATTTACAATCTCAGTTGCAATATATACATATATGATCAGTTTGGCCAGTTAATAGTACACATCTTATGTTCAAATATTATGTAAAATAATATAGTATATTTATTTGCAATCGTTTAATTGTAGAATATCTGCATTATTAAAATAATAATAAATGGCTGGAGATTTGGTCACAATTTTGTGTACAATATTTACCTTTATTCTTTTCCAGACTCGGTTTAACTTCTTGAGTTCTACTCTCATTCTCTGAGGTATCTTTCTCCTGCTTCTCTTGGACGCTACAATCTGATTTCTCCTTGGTCTCCCCTCTCCCTCCTACATGTGAAGTAATTCGTCCCATGCTGCGGAACTTTGAGAAGATGCTAGGCTGCTTCCCAGATGGCTTCAACCAGCCCAGCTTCCCTCTCCTTGTCCTCTTGCCCATCTCTTTTGGGGGACTGTCATTCTTCTCCTCCTCCTCTGTAGTGCTCCTTCTGTCATTCTCTTCCTTTTTTTCCTCTTGCTCCTCAGTTCCATTCCTCTGGTCAGAACTCTCTGTGGTTATGTCGCTGGAGGACTTTCGTTTTGAGCGAGTCATATGCATGTTTTCCTCATTTTTCTTTGGTTTGCTTTGAGATTTTGGCTTTTTCTTAGCATTGCCTGCTTCTGTGTCGCTCTTCCTCTTTCCACTCAACTGGCCATCAGAGCTACCATCATCCTCATGGTTAGACTCCCCCATTCCATTGCTCATTGTGCTGTCCTTCTGGTTGTCTGTTTGCTCTTTTTTAACATTGTCACAGGCCTCCTGGATGTTAGCAAGGATGCACTGCAGCACCTCCTGTGCATCATGCTGCAAGTAACCCTCATACATTGGATTAAGCTGCCTGCAATGGAGAAATCAAACAGGTTTGTTTGGAAACTCATTAAAGCCAAGGCAACAGTGAGAAAAACTCAGAGGTTTAAATGTCTTTTCAATGTTGCTGAATGATGCTCTGGCCCACTGCATTACCTGAGCGTGTTAAGCAGCTTGCGAGGTGGTGTGGCAAGCTCTTCGTTGCTGTATTTTTCTGGGTTAAGCAGAAAGCTGGATTGCAACTGTTCCACAGAAGAGATGAGGCTGTGGAAACTACCCAGCAGCTCCATGGAAACAGGTAGGGTGTTCTCACCAGTGTCCCCCTGATGATAACAAAAACATGCCATGTTTAACGCATTCAATTATAGTAAAGGCAACAATTTTAACATGACAAACTATTCTCTACATTTATTCAATTAGAAGCTAAATTTTAGAATTACTTTTTTCCTAAATTGAAGCTATTAGTACTGATATATAGTTATGAGCATAATCAAGGCAAAGGAAAACGCTTTTTAAAAGATGAAATTTACCAACCTCATTTTTGGCACCATCTTCTCGCTGTTTGTCTTTCAGCTTAGCCAACTGACACAACGATTCGATGGCCTCTTTAAAACCAGGACAGTAATATAACACCTAAAATTTGAAAGAAGGGTAAAACGTTTTGATGAGTGGGATCCAAACTACTGTAATGTAATTATATATACACACATATATATATAGATACTGTGATTAAATCATTATGATTTTTATAGTAGCTAAAATTTCAACCTATTCACCTGTGGTGTCCTGCCTGAGTGTCATGAATAATACATGATTAGTGGGTAAGCTGAACAGTATACCTGAAGGATGCTGTTCAGATAGCAAGTGTTCCCCAAATTATTAAGCCCAACGAAGGGGACAAGGCTCTCACGCTTCTCACAAGTGAGAGGAGATGAAGGGCAAGGCATTGGCACAACCTGGTCATGACTTGAGAACAATTAGGAAAAGTTTATATGGTATTTTCAAATACAATCTGTATTAAATAGCCTAATAACAACATTCCATACTTAGTAGTCTCTTCTGGTTCTGCAGTGCCGTTGTCTTCTGCCGGGGCCTCTGAGAAGTCCAGGGCTCGTTTGGTGTCCTTCTTCTGGAAGAACTTTAGAGAGAGTTTGCTCTTCTTCACAGGACTGCCAACTGCAGCCACCACTCCACCTTCACTATGCAGTCCAGGCATTTTAACTATTCACTACAGAAGATGAAAGAGAAACCAAAGTAAATGTCAAAAAACGAAACAAACTCAATCAAAACATTCACGATCAGCCACGAACCGCGGGAAAGCCTTAGCTCTGATGTGCCCTAGAAAGTAATAGAAGCGTTTTCTGCTAAGAATATGACTTTAGCTATCAATTTTTTATTTATATATAATCGATTGATGTTAAATATTTGCGTCATATGATCTCGAGACTCTTAGTTTGATCATTTTTAATTCATATGCATGAAGACACATATATAGCAGTGTGGCTAACTGAGTAGCCGCCCAGCCCACACAACATGCACGTTCATTTCAGCAAGAGTAACGTTACTTCAGAGCTACGTAATAAAAAATAGCACTACATTTAATGGTCTTACCTAAGGAATCTTATTATGCACGCGTTACATTTTCGCAAAATACAATCCCTAGTACGCAGTTTCGTTTTGAATATACACAAACTTGACAACCGCGTCTTCAGCTGTAGAACTTGGCGCTTTTTCCACGACTGAGACCCCTCCGCTAATGCCTGAACAAAAGGAGATGGTCGAATAAATTGTGTGAAATAAAAGAAGGAGCACTGCCGCGAATTGTATAATAAATACGTATTTTTGTTTACGAAAATGTTTTTTTTTTTTCAAAACCATGAATAAAAGTAAATATAATTTTGCAGGCATTTTAAACCGATCTGAGATCAGTAACGTGATTGTCGATTGTAACCGCCTTACGGTTTGGTTTTGTGAATAGAATAGAAGACTGAATCTGGATCAGTGTAAAATAAGAGTTTCACAGGAACCTGTCTGGACGACGGTACAAGTGGAAGCGTAGATGGTAATTTTCTTATAAATAACTCGATTCTTTGGTTAAAATATTTTAAAGTGCTTTTTTCTTCTTCAAAACATCATAACGGCATGTCTTTAAAATTGTCTCAAAATATTGCTGACTTAAAATGACGCAGGACGAGAACGAGGAATTTGATGTCGTTTAGGACGCAGTTATTTGTAATGTCACATTTACAAACGTTAGTGCAAGAAACTGCAACATAACTCTTAGCCAAAACATAAAAAATAATAAATTCCAGCTTGCTTTTTTATTCTAAAATAATACGTAAACAAATAATAAATAAATATTACAAAAAATACTTGTTTTATAGGCCTATAGGTGTTGTTATTATTATTATTATTATTAAATGTACAAAAAGTATTTCTTACCTTTCACCAGTAGATGGACATCAAGAACAGTGCATGAGCAATGGGACGTTCAATCACCAACCATCAACATGGGGGGTGTCTAGTCCTGCTCCTGGAGGGCCACTGTTCTGCAGAGTTCAGCTCCAACCCCATTTAAACACACCTGAATCAGCTAAGTCTTACTAGGCATAATAGAAACTTACAGGCAGGTGTACTGAGGCAAGTAGAAGCTAAACTCTGCAGGACAGTGGCCCTCCAGACCGAGTTTGGACACCCCTGATCTATATCTACTTTATTTCTTTCTCTCATATTCAAGACAGTCCTAGTTCTGTGTAATATAGCCTACATATTTACAAATAATACTCAGATTTTTTTCCAATCAACTTTTTTTTTTGTTCCAATATTAAGATTATATTTTAAAATGTATATGAAATACTTTGGAAAGTGTAACAAATTAAAATTAAAGTTTAATATAAGAGGCCGAACTACTGTATGCATAACAATGATAAAAGAAAAGGCTGTGTAGAATAGTGCTGTATGGAGTGTAGCAGATTACACAACTGGACACAGCTGTCACTGCAGTGGAATGTAATTTCACCTGCCCATGTACATATTATACAGAGGCATCTAATCTGCAGATGTGCTTGAGGAGGCTGATCTCAAACCACTCAAATCATCTCAGCATCTGCTGATCATTTGTATCTGCTTACTTAGAAAATTATTTTCTTTTGTGAGTGTGTGTGAATGCACCTTTTATGTAGAGGATACTGAGGCTAGTTGGCTATATATCAGTAACCACACAATGCATTCAGGCAAATGTCAATTGTGGTTGAACTGTGTTTTTAGAACAAGAATATTTGCAGTTGAGGCAAGTAGTCACATGTGTTTAACATCTTGTATTTTTGTGTAAACAATTAAATGGCATGAATTCATTTAAAATTATGACTATAATTATTATAATGCTATATAATATTATTTTAATAAAATAATACAATATATTATTTATATTATTTGTTTGGCCAAAACAATGGTTTGATTTTTTTTGTATGTTACCTTTTATGTCTTTACTGTATTTATTTGTGTTTAATCCATTTAAATTTACAAACAGAAACCACCTCAAAACATGTATGCATCATGCAATAAATATTCACTAGATTGGACAAGCCTGGTCTCCCCCATAAGCCAAATATCAACTCTTGTATTACTATACTTATATCAGAATGTAAGTAGAAACCTGAGGAAATGCACCTCTTTTTTATTCCCCTACAGTGTTAACCATGAATCCTTCAAGAACGCAGTCACTGTCGGAGGAAAAACAGCCCTGGGAAGAAGCTTTTGAGTCTGGAAATGCGGAGAAATAGACCAGCGCACTCAAAGAATGAGAGGCATGTCCTGCACTCTTTTCAGCCCCAGCTGAGCTGTGTGCTGTTTTTTAAATCACTTTACCATACTAAACCTACCTCAGTGTCAGTGACACACAATACACACCAGCTGGATCACACACACACAGATGATGTCAGCTCTTGGGGCAGAGCTCAAGCAGTATACATATAGGCAAAGTGGTTAAACAATAGTTTAATGTTTTATCAGTCAGCTGTACTTTAATCCTAAAGCATTTGAATGTGATGGGGAAGCTGGATGGGGGGTGTTGGCTGATAAGGCTGTGTGTGTGTGTGTGTCTGACCCTCTGACTGCCATTGGATGAGCTCTGTGGGAGGGGGTGTGTTCAGGCTCACAGTATAGCGCTTGTTATGAGAGCCTTCTGCCATCCCCTTCCACAAACCTCAATAACAACAGTATCACAGCCTCTGAGGCTGAGTGTATGTGTAGGGGAGTGAGGAGTGCCTCTACCGCCGTTGCAGCTGGTTGCGGCTTCCTCCCTGTGCTGGATTTCCTTGAAGGCCTCATCACCTCTGCAGTGCCTAGGAAAAAATAGGGGCCCCCCAGAGTCTGAGGTAAGTGATGTGAGATAATACATTCCATATCTGTCAGCTCCATTATTCAACTTTTCTCTTGTTTACCTTTGGAAAATGCAGCACACCTCTATAGATCCCACCCACCATCCCTTAAAACCACCCTTTTCATTTCTCGTTGAGCATTTGAGGCAGTTCTTCTTATTATGTGCTGTTCTTCTAGTAATAATTCAGTAGGGACTACATCCTTCATTGCATACCTTGGTTGTTTTTATAGTAGCTACGCTTGCCACCTTGACAGCATTTCTGGCCATAATAGACCCCTAAATGCTGTTTAGGTGGGCAGCCCGTGTCTCATAGCACAAATCATCCCATTTTGCGTTTGGCTGTGCTGTTTCAGTTTACCACCCCGCTGGGTTGTCGTTATGCCGAGCAGCGTGTCAATCTGGCAGAGATGCGAGACACGCGAGCAGGGAGCGATGCGTCTAACCGTGCCGTAGTGCAGCACTCGTCTGCAGTGCTGCTCGATAACCCAGGCTCGGTTATTTCGCGATGGTGACTGGCTCATTTGCAGCGACCCAGAGACGGAGAGCTCAGCTGGTCAAGATCTCTGATATCCGCGATGCCCGAGGCGAGATCCTAGCTGCCATGTAGAAAGGTTCCTGTTTGATTTGCGTGCAGAGCGTGCTTTCTTGCTAGTTTCAAGCGCAACAGAGATAGAAGGTTTTGGATGCAGATGCTATGGGTTGGTCACTGTGCATATATTTGGACATAACAAGGTTAGGCTGCTTTATTAAGCAATGCATTTTCTAAACAAAACAGATATGCACTGGAGAGTCCAAATATGATTATATTTACCTGACAAAAAATATGATCTCCTTACAAACAGTCAATTCCTTCTCACAGTGCAAGTTTCAACACGGTTTTCAAATGTTTAAATAAAGATAAGAGTTCAGATAAGACCAATGGCCAATGTGGATGATTAGTGATTTCAATTAAATGTTTTGTTATGATGTGGTTTCTAAAGTCCATATTGAATCTTTACTTATAATTATGGTTTAATGAAACACACGTGTCAAAGGGGGACACCGGCTTGTAAAGGAAATCACTGTCTTTTAATGTTAGATTTAAAAAGAAATTATGAATCTCATGTCCTAGGACAGTTTCAAATGAATATGAAGATATCAATTGCAGCTAAAAACTTTATTGATCTAAACCAAGAATATATTATAATATTGGGGGGAAAAAAGATACTGCAATGCAGAAATACTACACAGAACAAATTGTTATATTTATTTTATATTAGAAAAAGTAAGTAAATCAAACAATTCAAGGACCTGCAGGTGCTTCTGAGCTGGTGTCATGTATATGAGAACGAGTTGTCTGATTACTTGTATGCTTTAACAAAGTGTGTTTGTTTGTTATTATTCATACAACAACATTAAATAAATGTATTTATAGAAATATTATCCTAAAAGAGACAAATACAATTGAACAATAATATTAAAAAAATTAAATTAAATTAAAATTATTTAAAATAAAATAAAATGTAAATAAATAAAAGCAATATGTTTAATATATTTTCAATATTATTGGCACATGTAAAGATAAAATAACTTCTATTTGCATTTCACAGAGTTGGTAAACTAATATGCTATTTGTAAACAAATTATATAAAACTATATTACCAGTGCATGTCACAAAAAAAAACAAAAACGTGTAATTTGAAAATGATTTATTTAGCTGTGGAGCCTAATTTGTGTTGCGCAACGGGAACCTCCACCAATTGCGTGCTGCCTTTACAAAATTGCCTTTACATTTTCATAGTTGACCTGACCTAAAAATTCCTCTAGATGAAATTATCAACCCCCTTGCAAGTCTTTGTATAATTGGCTCACTGCCTTTGCACATGTAATGCCTCCCTAGGAGTCTACAGGCTGTTTGATGTTCTCAGGAATGCAGAGGTACATTAAACATGTGACCTAAGGGCCACCCAGGAGCTCTGACTCTCTAAAGAGTGTGCAAGTTTACCATCACTCTGGTGAGTCTTACTATGTGATTTTGCTGGCCCTGTGTGTGTGTGTGTGTGTGTGTGTGTGTGTGTGTGTTTTGACAGGTTTTTGTCATAACTTTCCGTTCCAAATACAACTTGCCAGATGCCACTACATGTCATTTATTGTGATGAAGGCCAGCTTATTTATTCATTGGTTGCATTTAGTTATAGATTTTTATATTATTTATATATTATATATGTTTGTTTATTTAATTATTTGATTATGCTCATCCTTGGACCATTAAAGTAACATCTAGTAAACCCAGGAGACATTTACTACAGAAATAAATGGTCATGTTTTTGCTCTTGTGATCAGTCATGTGGGCTTCTTGCACCAGTGACTGTAATTCCATGACCTGGTAGAGCTCTGAAACAGGCCCTTAGTGGAAACAATGCCT